GCTGGAGGCTTCAATGATGTGAAGCCTCATTAAATGTTATAGTTTAAAGGTGAATGGATAGTGCTCACACTGCCATAAGGTAACCTATAGTCCCAAAATAAGAATTGTTATTTTTTGAGACTATAAGTTCCCTTTAAGAGGAGGTGAAGATACTCTATCTGCGCACTGTACTGATGTATCGTTGTGTTACTCAGCACAGCAGCAGTAGATGCTGTATGGAACTTTGGCAAAGTTCCTCTTCAGAATGCATGCTATTAGTCCCTTAGCATCTCTACTACAAGCTCTGAACATCCAGTGAGCCTTTATTGGCTGTGCATCTGCCTCTTTGGCAGTACCTGTTTAAATGGTCTCATTCATTCCCTTTCTTCTATACTCACTACATACACCTTTCCTCTTTCCCAGACTGTATAACAGGGGCTTCTGCCTGCTAGTAAGAAGGCAATGAGAGAAGTGGACAAGTTGAGTGCTGGGGAAAGTCCTTAGAAAGCGTGGAGCTAGCGCATCACTAGACGCATTTATGCCAAGCTCAGAGTGCTGTCTGCACAGTATGCCCTTTGTTGGTCATCCTGCATGATTGGCAGGCAGCCTGGCATGCATTTACAACAGGCTGACCTTCTAAATCTTCGGGCAGACATGCCCCCTTTTTGGGCGTGATGGCCCCTTTGGGCGGTTCTGGTTATGTGCAGGGCCGGCGCGTCCATAAGGCGGCACAGGCGGCCGCCTTAGGGCGCACGGGCTCTGGGGGCGCAATATTTCAGTGACCGGCAGGAGGGAAGCTCTCCCTCCTGCCAGGCCACCATCTTGACCCCCGGCGCAGCGCGCGGCAGTGCTGTGATCAGGCGCGCGAGGGAGCTCTAATCTCCACCCTCTGCTTCCTCGCGCGCTGCCTACTGATGCCGCGGGAGCCGGAATATGACGTCATCAGTAGGCAGCCCGCGAGGGAGCAGAGGATGGAGATTAGAGCTCCCTCGCGCGCCTGATCACAGCACTGCCGCGCGCCTCTCAGCAGCCCCAGCCCTCAGGGACCGATCCAGCATCCACACCAGCTCTCCAGGTAGGGAGGCTGGGTGGAAAATGTTTATTTATAAAATTATTAGTGAATGTATGTGATGTGTGTCTGTGTGTGTGTGTCTGTGAGTGACAGTGTGTTTGTCTATGTGTGTGTGTCTGTGTGTGTGTGTCTGTGAGTGACAGTGTGTGTGTCTGTGTGTTTGTGTCTGTGAGTGACAGTGTGTGTGTCTGTGTGTGTGTGTCTGTGAGTGACAGTGTGTGTGTGTCTGTGAGTGACAGTGTGTGTGTCTGTGAGTGACTGAGCGTGTGTCTGTGAGTGACTGAGCGTGTGTCTGTGAGTGACAGTGTGTGTGTCTGTGAGTGACTGAGCGTGTGTCTGTGTGTGTCTGTGAGTGACAGTGTGTGTGTCCATGAATGACTGTGTGCGTCTCTGTGTGTGTCTGTGAGTGACAGCGTGTGTGTCTGTGAGTGACAGCGTGTGTCTGTGAGTGACAGTGTGTGTGTCCATGAATGACTATGTGCGTCTCTGTGTGTGTCTGTGAGTGACAGCATGTGTGTCTGTGAGTGACAGTGTGTGTGTGTGATTGTATGAGTGTGTGTGCATGTGATTGTATGAGTGTGTGTGCATGTGTGTGTCTGAGTGACTGAGCGTGTGTCTGTGAGTGACAGTGTGTGTGTGTGTGTGAGTGATTGTATGAGTGTGTGTGTCTAAGTGACTGAGCGTGTATCTGTGAGTGACAGCATGTGTGTCTGTGAGTGACAGCATGTGTGTCTGAGTGACTGAGTGTGTGTGAGTGAGTGATTGTATGAGTGTGTGTGTCTGAGTGACTGAGCGTGTGTCTGTGAGTGACAGTGTGTGTGTGTGTCTGTGAGTGACTGTGTGCTTTGGTGTGTGTCTGTGAGTGACAGTGTGTGTTTGTGAGTGAGTGACTGTCTGTGTGTCTGTGAGTGATTGTATGAGTGTGTGTGCATGTGAGTGTATGAGTGTGTCTGTCAGTGTATGATGAGTGTGTTTGTCAGTGTATGAGTGTGTGTCTGTCAAATCAGTGAGAGTATGTTTGTCATTGAGTCTGTGTGTGACTATCAGTGTGTCTGTCAATGAGTGTCAATCAGTGTGGGTCTGTCAGTGTCAATGAATGAGTGTGTGTCAGATCAATGAGTCTGTGTCTGTCAGTGACGTCTGTGTGTTTGTCATTGAGTGTGTGACTGTCAGTGTGTACAGAGTGTAGTGGAGCAGAGCGCGGTACAGGAGCTTCTGTTTCCTGTACCTGGCCAGACTGACAGGAGGTGCTCACAGAGAGAGCACTCCCTGTCAGTCCGTCCGGGTACAGAAAACTGAAGCTCCTTTAGGGGATCTGCTCCGCTCGGCAATGCAACAATAGAGGTAGGAGGCACACACCAGGAAGTGTGACCACTAAAGGGGTGGGGGGTGCACCAAGGGACAGGGAGGGAATGGGAGAGAAACACCAAGAGACAGGGAAAAAAGGGGGGAGGGGGAAAGGGGGGAGGGGAGAAGAACACTAAGGGACAGGGAACGGAAGGGACCACTAATGGTCGGGGAGGGGAGAGGGGCTGGTTAAGAGGCACATAGGTGAAGATTTTGGGGGGGGGGCGGAAAAATGCATCTTCGCCTATGTACCTAAAAATCCAAGCACCGGCCCTGGTTATGTGCCTAACTTTTATCCCGCCCACCGACATTCTGCTTCACCTGACACTGCTGTTAGGGGGTATGGATTTACTTGAAAGATGAGAGCGAGAGGATATGTGTTTTCTTATAGCTATATCCTGTGAGTTTCTCTCCAGCACCACCTCCACCAGATACATGATGCTTGGGAGGTGTGACTGTTTTAGTGTTTTCTGTCGATAAGATTCTGTAATTAGGCCCATCATAATTGTCAGCACCAGGCCGAATGGACTCGTAATCTGGCTCTGCTTGCAGTATTGCACTTACAATGCTGTCGTTTGCACTTTAATATGTAATGTTTAAAACTTTAGCTTACATTTAATGTATATTTTTCTTGCATTTCATTTATTTTATTTTATTTTTTTGTCTTTTTGTTGTGGCACTATAGAGAAAAGTCACACAAGTGTTTTGTATCAGTTAATATTTAATTAAATGTCTTCTATTAGGTCCTACAAGCACAATTTGATTTTCATCTGCCCAGTACTAGTTAAAGTAGCCACACTGATTGCATATAGCCTGGGTAATAATGCCGTCTAACATACAATAAATACTTTATGGAGCATATGAATCAGGCGTAAGTCAAGAAAGTTGGGCGAGCAGCTGTTAAGTTGGAAGGTACGTCTTTGACAGATTAGGGGTTTAGAATAAATAGAGAGTGATGTGGAATGTTTAAATAAGTCAGTACTTGGTTATTGAAAGAAAATTAGTGACTGGTCAGAATGTTACAGTTGGTAGATATTAATAGTAGAAGGGGGAACCAGAGACTCTTTATGGAAAGCATTCATAGAGGAGAGTGCGTGGCTAATTTGGAGAGGAGTGTCAGTGTTTGATTAAAGTAGGAGTAGGCAACCTTTGGCACTCCAGATGTTGTGGACTACCTGTCCCAGAATACTCTTACAGCCATAATG